TATGGGGGGTTCCTTGTTTGGATTTTTCGCCCGATGTACTAGTTCCACTAGATTAGGATTTGAGCGAGAATATTATCATTTTAGATCGTTAAGTGTAAATATCTCTATAAGGTTATCTAAGAGTTAATATTTCAAGTTCACATGATTTCCGAATTTCGAGGACGAAATTCTTTTAAGGGGGGAAGAATGTAAAACCCCGAAAATTTCTACAATAAATATATGTGAATTATTAATAGTAAATATTTTCCTTGTGATGAATAATCATATATATACACATATATATGTCATATGAATGTAATTATCTATGTTTGAGAACCCAACAAGTGATTTTAAGTGAGAGAAATCGAGTGTTATGGCCAGCGTGTGAAATGCCCAGCAGCAGGCATTTTTGTACTGCGCGGTCGACCGACGTGGTCGACCGTGGCGGTCGACCGACGCGATCGACCGCACAGCGGTCAGAGAGCTTTCAGGTTTTGTTTTCTTTGCGGTTTTGTTTCGGGTCTTTTGGGTTTCAGGTCGGGTTAGGGAGTTAGTGTTTATACCAACTCAACCCAGGAGAGCCTCTCTTCACCTCAGGCTCAAAACCCTAGCCCTCATCTCTCAAATCTCAAACCCTAGCTGGATTTGGTGCTTAGGAGGAGATCTGGAGGATTTTTCAGCGGGATTTTGGATTGGCAGCGTAGAGAATCAACCTCCTGCAGATCTAGGGCTTTCGTCAACACCCAAGGCGAGTGTCATCTCGCCCAATCTCTCACCCCTATTTTCTATGGTTGTATTTCGATTTTTCATGAGTTTTAGATGAGCCCAAAAGGTATTTTTGTATAAAAATGAGTTCTTTACAACTTGGATTGTAAGGATTAATATTTCAGTTTATAAAAGTTCACCAATGTTTTATCTAATGAAGATCTAGATCTGAGATTTCTTAAACGAGAGTTTAACCCTATTTTACTGTCATTAAAATGTTTTAAATTGCTTCTCATGTATTTTGAAATATTAGAAATGTGGATTTCATGCTTGAGACTAGTTTTTTTTCTTCTAGAACATTAGACCACTTATTATCATATAATTTTTCAAAATTTTGTTTCAGGTTTTGCGTTGACAGAAACCCAGATTGGGTTTCTGTCCGCTTGGCGGTTGACCGGTGCGGTCGACCGGCGCGGTCGACCGCGGATGACTGTAAAGTTTTCGACCGTGATGTTCTGTCGGTCGACCGAGCTGCCGCAGCGGTCGACCGCGGCGCCCTGGCGGTCGACCGAAATGCCCTTGTGTCAGAGCGCGATCGACCGGTCCGGTCGACTGCTGCACAGTCTGCCTGTTCTGTCTGTTTTGTTCATGTTCGAAGTTTTGGCCTGTTATTTGACTCTGGTTTGTAGTCTTATTATGTATTCATGTATAATAGATGATCCGAAAGTACCAATTAGGGGCATGCGCACTGATTTGAGTGTGAACTGATTTATGTAGAATTTCACTATGTACCTTGGCTGTATTTTCACTATTTCACAGTCCTCGTGTTGGACTATAATCCATTTCAGTCCTCGTGTTGGACTATAATCCATGGAAGTCCTCGTGTTGGACTATAATCCATTTCAGTCCTCGTGTTAGACATCTGCCAACTATCCCGTGAGTTTGGAAACTACAGTATACAAACCCTGTAACAGACATGGTTCTTAACCTTGCATAAGACATTCTTACAGAAGCCCATGATATGACACTATGTAGATTTTTGACATGACACTCGTGTGAGCTATATCATTATATTCATGTAGGCTATGACATAGCACTACACTTACGTTCTGAGATTGATTGTATTTCTTTTATTATTGTTCCTATATTAGAACCTCGGGTTTGGTATTTAGGGATTTACAATTTGAGATGTAAGGTATATACATGAGGGTTTCTTAGAACCTCGGGTTTGGTATTTAGGGATTTACAATTTGAGATGTAAGGTATATACATGAGGGTTTCCTTGTTTGGATTATTTCGCTCGACGTACCTATGCTCGTGTTGTAAATTTCTAAACACTAAAACTTTTTTTAGTGAGATCAATGATTTTAGATCTATTATATATTAACTGTATTTTCTTATACAACGAGCCCTGTTCCCTTGGGGTTGGTTGTGATGTTACTCGCTAGCGCTTTGACGCTCGTTGTCCCTCCCCCCTTTCAGGTAATGAGCCAGGAGCCCGGAGAGTCGCAGGTTGATGGCGAGGCATTTTAGCTTCAGCTGTTTACTTAGATATATTTTCTTTTGGAATTCCACAGTAGACTTTTGTTTAGGTATTTGAGAGTCTTATTCTAGAAGTTGTAAAGGCGGTGTGCCTTATTTCCTCTTGTCAGACATTTGTATTTGGGACTTATTGAGTATTCCAGTTTATCTACTCAGATCTTGACTTTGTACTTCTGTATGTCGGATGATGAGATATTTATGTGACTATTATCATTTCATCAGTATATCTTGTATTACCTTTTGCCTGTTTTGTACCTACACCAGTCGTTGACTCTACTAGATAGATGTTAATTGTGATGGTGAAACATGTTATTGCACGGTGTGGTGCATGGCATAATGAAATCAGGTGAAATCAGGTGAAAACTTAGTCTAAAGTCTGAAAGGAAAGAAATGTAGTAAAATTATGAGTGTTCATGTACATATGCATGTGCTGTGAGATATGTAATTTTATAACAGCTTGTTGCATATTTGCATTAACTCTCCACAATCTTGGTTAGCATTTGAAGTTTTGTTGTATATCTACATTTCTTATTTAGAAGCAGAATCAACTGATGATCAAACACAGTTGTAAAACCCTCAATATGCTTCCAGAGTTACAATTGAGCTGTAAGACCCGAGGGAAAAAAGACATTTTCTCAACGTATATCAAATACACTCAAAGCATTTCTTTGACTCTCTACATATTACCAAATTAGACCATTCTAGTTATATCAAAATGAAACAGAAAAAACTATTTGCCTGAACTTCACTCCACGCATTACACAAAAACTAACAACTAATAGTGAAACTCAAACAAAATTACATATGTAAGAAAGCAAGGATGCACCTAGTGGATCAACTATACAAGAAAATACTCAAGGTTAGCTAAGAGAACAGATGCCGCTCCTTCCAAAGTGTAGCTCAAGGAAATTTGTTTCAAGTATAAAGAATTATGAATATTCAATAAAAAGATTTTTTTTCCATACCACTGAACTCTGCAAACGAAGAGAACGTAGAATTGAGTGCCACTGAGTCAGACCTTTTTTCTTAGCGGTCTAAATATTCTGCAATCTAACAATGACTGACTCCACTGTTACCCATTAAAATTCCTTGTGTTGTTCACATCGACAAAGGCAATAACAATCTTCTCTCTCTTTTTCTTGCAAGTTTTCTCTGTCTAATAAACACACATATGGGAATAAGGATTCCAATGTTATGCAGTTCCCGATATTTGAGCAATAACCATCAGGCCCTTTGAAGTCATATATCCTCTTGCAAAATCTTTTCTTTTCAGACCTTGAAAATGTATGTGGTGCTGGTGGAAGGTACAATCTGCTTCCCCGTTGTTCTGGATGCAAGTCTTTCCTAATTCTAATATCTTCCAAGTCCTTATGAGCATTTATCCCATCTTTTGATTTCCCACTATGCAACATAGTGCTTATTATGCTCTCACAAATGTTTTTCTCTATGTGCATCACGTCTAAATTATGATGTAATAGAAGTTCCTATAAATAAAAATAAAGAAATACATTAAGCAATTATAAAGCTAAAACAAAATATATAAAAAATATGAAATAAAGAAAAAACTGAACACTAACCTTCCAGTACGGTAAAGAAAAAAAAGATAGATCTTTTCTTCCACCTAGTAAGCTCATTCTGATTATCAATGTCACTTGTGTCATCCTCATCATCATCATCATCACCATCATTCTCATTATTATTCCTTTTTCTTTTTTTGTCTCCACCTTTTCCAAAATCATTTGGAAAATCATTTAGAACAGCAGAAATATTGTGACCTGTTAAGGCTTTGGGCTTGCTGCCATGCTCTATACTATTATCAAACCATGATTTCTTTCTTCGGTATGGATGTGAGGGTTTCAGAAATTTCCTGTGACCCATGTATGAAAACTTCCTACTGAAGCGTAACCATCTATGATGTGATTTTTCCCACATATAGGGCATGCTTTTCTTCCTTTTGTAGAACAGCCAGCAAGATTTCCATATGCTGGAAAGTCATTTATAGTCCACATCAACATTGTTTTCAAATTGAAAGTTGATTTGCTAAATGCATCATAAGCCTCAACCCCATTCTCCTACAACAATTGCAAATCATCTACAAGTGGTTGCAAATAGATATCTATGTCGTTTCCCGGTTGCTTTGGACCAGGAATCAGCAATGTTAGCATAATATTATCTTTCTTCATGCACAACATAGGAGGCAAATTATAATTCACAAGCATTACCGGCCAACAACTATATTTAGAGCTTAAGATGGAGAACGGGTTGAAACCATCACTAGCAAGTCCAAGTCTGAGATTGCGTGGATCAGCTGCAAATGTGGGCCATTTATCATTAACCACGTCCCAAGCTAAAGAATCAACAGGGTGACGCATTTTCCCGTCTGTGCTTTTGTTATCAAAATGCCATCTCAAATATTTAGCCATTTGTGAAGACCTGAACATCCTTTTAAATTTAGGAATAATAGGAAAATATCTCAAAACCTTAACTGGAACGCCTGTTCTGATTTCTTTACTACGCTTATTTATCTTCCATCTTGAAGCACCACATGTTGGACAGTTGTCCAGTTCCTCATACTTCTTTCTAAAGAGACAGCAATCATTCACACAAGCTTGAATCTTTTCATACCACATGTTAAATATCTTGAGGAAGCTTTTAATCGAGGTGGCTGAATCTAGCAAAACATTGTCCTTTGGCAACATACGTTTAATGATACCTAACAACTCATTGAAATGTTTACTTGATAATCCACTCTTGCCTTTTGAGTCCATACAAATCTATAATGGCTGACAACTTTGTGTAACTTTCGCAGCCTGGATACAAGGAGTTTGTGCTTCTTCTAGTCTCCTTATGAACTCGTCACCATGTCCATGTTCAGAAGGTTCATTAATAGGTATAGGCTGAACAAGTTCTTCATCTATAAAGTAGGCAGCTTGGAATAAGTTATATGTCTCGTCCTTAGTGGCTTCATAATCAATCTTCTCACCACTTTCTTGTTTCTCTCCATGCTTATTCCAATGTGATTTCATTCGGTACGAAAGATCCATCCCCTTTGTAACCAAGTGTTCAAAAATTGTACTTCCATCTTGATGGCTCATATTACGACATTTCGTGCAAGGGCAGAACATCCTTGTAGGAAATCCCAAATTCTTTTCAACTGTCTTTACAAATTGTAATGCTTTTTGCTGGTACTCAAGGGTGGATCTATGATTTTCAAAGAAAAGGAGCAAGAACAAAATACATTCCAGATATAGTTAAATTACTATAATTTTACAAGTATTGGTGAACCAACAGATTAAGATATGATTCTTGCCCGTGGAGCCACACCCACTCTTTTTCCTTCATCTTTTTAATGAAGATTTATGCAAGCAATGTCTAACATATGAAAACAAAAATAAACTAATGTCAACATATGAAAACAAAAATAAACAAAAATAAACTGGATGATATAAGGTATGAAGTCCTTTTTGCATGACAACTAACTGGTGGTTTCCATATATTCTTGCTGACCTACTAGTAGTGTTCTCTCATGTTGAATGTTCAAGACGTGGAAGTCTGTTGTTGTTCCAATTAAATTGGAAAGTATGCATGGGGAATGGTTTGAGGATTTGGTAACTGATTTAGTTTTCTCTTACACTGGTGTTAGTTTTCTCTTGCACTGGATGATATAGTGTATAAAGTCCCTTTTGTATACCATTACAAAGTTAAATTTTATAACTTTATAAGCTTGCATGGCTTGTTGATTGTCTCATAGTAACAGAAAAACAAAATTAAACTAAACCCAGCCTAAAATCCCAAACCCATTCTCATTATCATACCAAGTATACCATTCGAATGAAACATATAATAAACTCAAATCCTAAACCCAGACTAAAATTGAACACCATAAACAAACTAATACGCAATTATCATTCAAATACCTAACAGTAAACAAATTAAACTCTTACCCAGTTATCAAATTAAACAAATTGAACAAATTGAACACCATAAACAAAATTAAACTCTTACCCAGTTATCAAATTAAACAAATTGAACAAATTGAACACCATAAACAAAATTAAACTCTTACCCAGTTATCAAATTAAACAAATTGAACAAATTGAACACCATAAACAAAATTAAACTCTTACCCAGTTATCAAATTAAACTCAACAAGAATTTCAAAAGGAATTTCAAAGGAATACTATTCTTCAGATTGCTCCCTGAGCTCCAAGTGCTCTGCATCACAAATAAACCACAAATTCATCACAACTAATCTCACAAAATAACTACCCAAAAATAACATTAAAAATAAAAAGAAAAGGACTTTCAGATTCTCTTAAACCTTTCAGATCTCAAATTAATCCCACGGATCTTCAAATTAATCACACGGATCTTCAAAAGAAAAGGGTTTCGGAGGTGGACGAGAGACGAGGAGGGGCTCCGGCGGTGGACGAGAGACGAGGAGGGGCTCCGACGGTGGACGAGAGAAAGAAGAGGAGGGTCGGGTTTGGAGGCGGCAACGACGGCGAGATGCTGCGACAGCCAGTCGGAGGCGACACCGGCGACGACTCCGAGGCGGCAGCGACGAGTCGGAGGGCTATTAGGGTTTGGGTGAAAGAAAAGGAACGGGAACTGATTATTCGTGGGGGGTTTTAGAAAAATAAAAAGGAAACGAAAATATAACACCAATCTCTCCCTTGTTTTCAACACGCGGGTTTTTTTTTTCAGTCTCCCGCTTAAGATTTCAACGCGGCTTAACAAAAGAAATGTGATCAATTATTTATAGCGTTTAAAATTTTTCAAACGCTATTAAAAAATAAGTCACATACAATTTATAGCACTTACAACATAAACGCTATCATTCAACGCTATAAAAAAATAGTTTTGTTGTAGTGACATGTTATTGCACGGTGTGGTGCATGACAGGTTTGACATTCTTGGTTTCACCTTGGACTGCAGCCTTGTGTGAACCCAGTGGCGTCACAGAGGAGTAGAGACGTAGGTCGAGTGTTTGACTGAACCTCGTGATCATATCGCGTGTTTACGATTGTTTCTTTGGCGCACTATTTATATTCATATCTTATGCTTCTTTTTTATATCGCCTTTTGTTATATTGTTTATCCTTGCATATCCTCTTACATATCATATTGTCAAGGACTTTGCATTATTAGTTTTAATTTTGCATCGATATCGGATTAGATTAGCAATTATCCTATTCACGCCCCCCCACTCCTAGGATATTTTCAAGAGGCACCGGCGGCGATTAGAACTAGGGGCTGAAGTTCTGATGCTTGGTGCAAAAGTTCTGCTATACACTACTGCCAACACTGGGCGGTGGACCTAGCGATGGTATAAGTTTTAAAAAAACCAAATAATAATTGGATCTCACCACCAGTGCTTGGCTCTCTATTACGTGGTGAGACCCAATGAAGGAGGCTCTAGCAATGGGCAATGGGGGACAACCTTCAACCATTACCAACACCCCATGTCAGGATAGTGTTTTTTTAGTGGACAGGGCTTGTAGGCGAACCCCGACTAGGGGTCGGGGCGGCATTGCTAGGCATCACCTTCGCTGCCATCAACCCCTCAAACCCAACCTCAGGGTTCTAGAAACCCTGGGGGCAGTTTGGTGAATAGAATTTTTAGTTTTTGTTTTTCTAAATTTTGATTTTCTAACTTATAGTTTTTAAATCAAAAAATTATTTAAAATAGTGAAAATATCTGAAACTTATGAGAAAGTTTTAGAATTATTATTATTATTTATCTTTAGAAATTTAGGAAATTTCTAATTGGAACCAACTTGATTTCATAATAAAATTATATTGGGATTTTACAAGAATAATTTTTAGACTTTGGAATTCTAAAAGAATTATTTTAAACATCAAAAAATTTGTTTATAAAATCCAAAAAAATCTTGGAGATGTTAATGGGTAACTATTCCACTGGGCACGCCTGTGGTGCGTGAGCAATTTCACAAGAAATGAAAAACTTTAATAAAATTTACTAGTTAAATAGGATAGTTAAATAAAGTTGTGAAATTTCTTGTTTATGTTTATCATGCCATATGTGCAGATGCTTGCATACTAAAATATAAACAAATCATTTCAAGTGGGAGATTTTGAGTTGAGATTGTACTATGATATAACCATCTAGTCTAATATATCTCTAAGAAATTTTATATTCTATTTTCAACGCAATTTGTTATGATTTTAAAAATTATATATTTGAACATTATGGCACTATGCCTTCTTCTCTCTGTTTTGGATGTAATTTTATTATCAATATAAAAGGCTTTATGAGATGGAATGTTCTTCTAGGTAGAACACTACTCTATGTATATGCCGCTAATCTTAACATGTCCGTAAATTAAGTGTCTTTATCCTTCTCTTATTGATGTTCCAATATAATATTCTGACTTCAGTTCGGGACTAATGAGTTATAGGTACTTCTGTCGAAAGATCCATTTTCTCCTGAGATCAGTGGATTTTATCGAGTATTGAGACTGTAAAGTTTGAGTAAGAACAGGGTCTAACTCGAACTCAAAGATGTGAGATCAATCATTACAAGGTCTAGAAATAGTGATATTGTACAAGTAGTTCATTGGATGAACTGCAAGGAAGAGCAATCTTATTCAGGAATTTGAAGATTATTTGAATGCAAAGGGCTTCTGGGATGCTCTGAACACAAGATTTGAATATATCTCTCAGTTGAGGATCTGAGTTTCTTATTTTTAAATGGATTCAAACAATATGTCTACTGGGCAAAACATCAGATTCACCTTTCTATGATAACCTTTATGATTAGGGATCATGAGGTAGCTAGAGCTGCGTCGTGCTAGGAGCAACAGATCTAGGTGGTTATAAGAGCTTTACATAACTCTAGGAAACAAATTTATTACTTTCATGGCACGTCGCATATGCAACAATATCCGCATGATGTGCAAATGAGAGTGAGATTGGAATCTAAATACCAGGGTGTGTCCAAGGCTGACATGTCTACTTCAGCTTTAGTAGTTGTATACCCGATGCACAAGGATAAGAGCCTAATTGTAGCGGTATGCCAGGAGTTTTTTTGAATGGATTCTAAAATAAAAGAAGGCAATTAAAAGGTAAAAAGGCTAAAAAAGAGCAAGGCTAATTATTTTGATGGCATACAAGCCAATGATTTAGCGCATGAGAGCATGCAACAGAGAAAACTTAGGACTCATTGACCACATGTATAAGGCATAGACTAGCTCGTAGGTTAATTATTTTGATGGAAAACAAGCCAATCATTTAGCGCATGAGGGCATGTAACCGAGAAAACTTAGGACTCATTGACCACATCTATAAAGCATAGACTAGCTCGTAGAGTTCGTGAAGATTTTGAATGGAAGTAGAAAGATCTAAATAGAGAATATGTATTGGTGTTGTAATGGTGTTGGCACTGATTCATATAGGTTTTCTCTAAGTTCAGGGAACAAATAGATCTTGTAATACTAGCACCATAATTGAGGAATCGTCTCCCGATAATTAGGCTTGTGGAATTCATGTGGGTGACATACATAGATTTACTTCTTGAATTCTCTGCTTCGCATAGGATAGCGAGACAATTTCTTAGTTGATTTTAGAATGTGATTGATTATAAGATAATTGGGTCTATGTTCTACTTTGTCTTGTACCGTTAATTAAGATTGGATCTAATTGACGTTATTATAGATTTGGTCACATTAGAGGATACATGTTAGGGGCGACCATCTAAGTATGTGTACCAATATGTATCCATCCACCAAGAAGCATAATCTAATTGGTAAATCACTAGGAAATCTTTTCGCAAGGCTAAGAATAAATCAGTCATAATTGTACACTCTTATACATGCAAACTAATATTTATGAAGGTACAAAATAGAGCATCTTATTTCCTCACATTAATAGGCTATTACTCTATCTATGGTAATGTATATTTGATCGTGCACCTAGTTTAGAGCTCAAATTTGTTTTGAGCACAATATCAACAAGATGGATAATCAATTAAGCAAAACCATTGGAGCTTTGTGCACTAGTTGCAAGAAAGAGTAGTTACCTGGCCAGTTCAAGGAATTGTGTTAAGTAAAGAGAAAAGTCAGATAGTTGACAATAACCTATATTTTTGTAAGAAAATAGTGTTATAAAAGTGACGAATATGACTCTACTATTCATAACTGAGAACATCTACACATTTAATTTTTGGGAGATGCACCATTG